ATGGTGCCCATGGGGACACTGAATGCAATTCAGAGGGGTCTGTTGATAGGCTCAGTCAGGAGGCAGCTTCCCTTGGGGTTAAGTCATGAGGTCATGGTGTCAACAAAAATCATGTTTATTCACGAGTCCTGAAAACTTCCCAATGCAGTGCCACGTTGGGACATACCATCCCTCCTTAGGTCCCACACAGCAAGGTTTCCTCAAGCACAGGTACAGTCTGTCTTCACTGCAACTCGGAGGAAGTAGCTGCCTTGATTTCAGGAGACACAGAAAGTACAGAAAGTACTTATCTTTATATTCTGGAATCCCATTAGGAAGTGCACACACTGTGGGAGAAAGGCAAGAACCTAGACCTCCTGGGGTGTATCTCTTTGGATGACTTGGGCCATGAGTCACTGAATACTTGACCAGCAGGAGCTTCAGCATAAAAATATTTTAGCTTTTCATAGAGTAATAAGTCTAGAGAAAGGTAGTACTGTACAAGGTTAATGCAGCTCTTCAGGCCTTCCCTTCATGGTCTTAGGAGGGCTGCAGCAGCCCCAGGCATCACATCCCTACACCAGTGTCCAGGACAGAGGGAGGGAAGGGGCAGAAAAGGGGCCTTCACGTCGTGTTCTTTCATCACCTGAAAAATCTTTCCATAGGTCTCCAGGCACTTCCTCTTGCATCTCATTGGCCAGAACTGGGTCACATGCCCACGCCTGACCAATCACTGGCAAAGGGCTTGGGACAACCATGGTGGATGTGATGCTGTGTTCCTCCTTGTCCCTAAAGTGGAACAAAATCGGGGTGTGTTAGCCAGGAGAAAAGGAATCGCTGTGCTGCAGGAAGGACCAACAGATTTTCCTCTGCTACATCACACTACCTCTGGAACATCTGCTCATGGAAGACAGCCTAAATCATTTCATGCCAGCCTACATTTTATTTTATACTTAAATTATTGTTTTATTGATTTAGCAAGGCCAGCACATTCAGGTGAATTCACATGAGTTGGATGCCTGTGGGTTAGAGCTTTACTGTGTTGGTCTTGGAGCTGGTACCTCCAGATGTCTGCCCTGGGCTTTAGCCCCACCTCTGAGCATGGGATACTCTTCAGTTCCCCTGGCCTGCCTGGACTCTAGCTCTGCCCATTGACCTGGAGGCCTGGGGATCTGCCTGCTGCTCTGGAGCCAGCCCCTCCTGTCCCGAACCTCTGGGAGGCCGTCTGCTCCAACTGCAGGGAACGCTGTGCTTGTGCTGTGCACACTTGTACATTGCCATGAATCACAGTGGCCTAATAAAAAGAGCCATTGGCCAAAGCATGGCAGAAAAATGCATTAGTTCTTCAGTAGTCATACAAGCAAATTAACTCTTTGTTAGTTTTTAAATTCATACATAGTAAGGAAAGTCAACAAGTTCTCACTTTGTAGGAAGCACTGTGTATAACTTGCTGGCAGACGTGTCAGGCTTCTTAGACTGCCCCAACCCAGGTGCAAGTCAGCTGGAACGCTGGCTCCATTGAATCCCCACTCTGTGCTGTGTGCGGCTGGATGCCCTCCGGCAGACAATGGCTTCATTTGGCCTGCTCTTGTGGGGACGGGCGAAATCTGTCATGAACAGTAGTGTCTTGACACGGATAGCACAGGTAAATCCAACTCCCTGACTGTACAACGGAAAGCTTTCTCCTCCCCTTAACGAGGTATAGGAGGCACAGTCCTCAGGTGTCTTTTAGTTCATCTTCACAGAACCCCCATAGGTGCGTGTTGGGTTATCCTCATTTTAGAAAGGACTAAAGGGTTTGCTCAAGGTCACCTAGCTTGTGAATGCCAAGCTTTTCCATTCCAGAGGTCCCCCAAAGGGAAGTGCAAGCAGTCTTAGTCCAAGGGCAGAATAAGTGCTTCATGCCTGTCACTGCCTGAGTGTACATATCTTTGTGTACACAAGAAACGTTCACCTGTACATAGGCTTCAGTAGGGACAGGCATAGAGCCTGTTCTGCCAGTCGTACTTATAGATTCTGAAGCAATAACTGAGGGAAGAAACAAAATTAAGTTTGTCTGTTTAAAAATCATAGATTACAGTTGTTACTATGATCTGCCCACCGTTCTGCCCTAATTTGCAGCCAACACAATAGCAATTATGCATACTATTAAATATATATTGGATAAACTCAGTTAAAATTTTTAATTAATCCAGCCCCAAACCTGGCTCAGGTCTACTCATAGATCACTGCCCAGATTTTCTTCTCATCACTGTGGCAGTCTGCTCACAGCTCAATAAAGAAGGGAAGATGGGCTGCTTGGCTTATAGTTTCTAGAGGAAATTATATTGCATGAGCTGATCTTGGTTATGTTATGTGCCCAGGGAAATTCTCAGGTGAACAGCTATCCTGGAGCATCAGGGCTCTTGCCTGCATACGCTCTACTGTGATTCACTGCGTCTCCACTGGTCTGCTCTGTCTTCATGGAGAGCCTGGCCAAGTTTCCACCCTCCCAGGTGTTTCAGGATCTCCCTATTACCCTCCCATTGCCTTGTGGAACTTGGTAGCAATGATAACTTATTTTCTTTTTGAGTGAATGAATGAATAAGCAAGCTGAAACAAAGTGGACCTTTTTGTTAGAATTTTTAGATTACATTTTAGATCTGGCCCTAAAATTCAGTCCAAGGGGATTTGAGATCTTAGGGACCAGGCTGACAGTAGCATAGGAGAGACAGCTGTCACCCTATATTCCTCAGCAGTTTTTCTTTCTCCTTTGTCATAATCTTCATTCCTCAAAACCAGAAAGGAGCCTGGCTGACCTCCTGAGTTCCGTTCCCCATTAGGCTGCTTCTGTCCATCGAGGCACAGAACAGGCATCACAGGGCAGACACTGCGCCACTAGCCCCTTCTGTTTGACTTCATTCTGTTGTCTGGAACCCACCATCCCTACTGATGGTCATGTTACCATTTCTACTAGAGGGGACCGAGGAGCCTTATGCAAGCACAGCTCCAGGCAACCTGTCCTGCCCTCCACCCCCCAGTCCCACCATGCACTGTCCTCGCTGGGAAAGGGGTTCCCCTGGTCCCTCGATGTGAGGACAGCTGAGCTGCAGTTGTAGACAATCATTTTTATCTGAGTTTCTTTCTGACAAAATAAAAGAATTTTATTATGCTTGGAAGAAGTGTGGTCAGGGCCTCATGGCCTCTAATATCTTCTCGACATCTTTCTCAATTGTCCCTCCCTCTGTGGTATTTCCTGGGTCACCAGGGCAGTACACAATTGACTCTCATGTCTGTCGAGAACTGTAAAGGGTCTGACGAGTTAGCCTGCCACAGCTTCATGGATGCTGGCAGAAGACATGGAGGCTCCTGGGTCAGAGACAAAGGAATTCATTACTCACAGCAACAACAGAAGCCAGATGTCAGCATCTTCTTGTGCCACTTCCCCGAGCCACAGTTTCCACAGGGTGAAGTAAGGAGAGTCAGGTGGCACTCACACAGGCAGTGGATTTTGTTACAGGAGAGGAACTCTGTGCCTAGGGAACCCAGATATTTCATCAGGGCAGTAAACATGCCTCTCCTTGCTCCAAAGAGAGATATCATCTTTGTTGTGCTGACAGTAACTAAGCCTGCCTTTGCCCCAGCAGACGACAATATCTCTGTCTTCCAGGGCTGCTGTTGGCTGTACAAATATCTTTGAAAGATAATTCAAAACAATGAGCAGCCGATTCCTTGCTTGAAAGACATGCAGAAACATGAACAACCTATGAAGAATTGCCTCCCAACATTGTCCTTGTCTTGAACTCATCATACGTTTAATTTGATTATTCCACATATACGTTTTACACCTACTGCGTGCAAGGCTCTGTGCTTGAAGCTGAGGATACAGAAAATAAAACATATCCTCTGCCCTCAAAGAGCTCATTGTCCAGTAGGGTAGATAGACAGTGGACAAGAGAGTAAAGTAGAATGGGATTAGATATGAGAGAAGGGCCCAAGGGGATGTGGAAGGCCAGAGGAGGGGACCCCAACATAGCTTGGGAGGAATGGGCATGGAGAAGCTTTCTGGAGGAGGTGACTTCTAAGTGATGTAGCCCATAAGTGGATAAACTCTCATCGTAAATGGATGAGAGGGAGCACAGTGCTTAGGAGAGGATGAAAAGTGGTTCGATGGAACAGACATGGAGAGGGGGTGGGAGGCTCAGTAATGACTCTGGGACAACAGGTGATGACCAGATAAAGGGTTGTGGATGACGCACCAAAGAGTTTCAGGATTATCCAGAATGCGACTGGTGGGGAAGAGGATCAGGGAATGAACATGTTGATGCGCGCGTTATAAAGATTCCTTGGGCAGCTGTGTGGAGGATGGATCAGAGAAGGTAAGACTGGAAACAGGAGACAGGTTAAGAGCGCATTCAGGGGCAGTCATCCCCAATCTAAGGCAGTGACTGTGGAGTTTGAGAGAGGGGTGGATAAGAACGATACTGCAGAGGTGTCACTGACAGGCTGTCAAGGCGAGGAAGAGGGAAGAGCCCACATGGCTGCCAGTTTTGTGGTTTGGGTGCTAAAGGGCCATGGTGCTATCTCCTGCTGCCATTATGAATGGTTGTTTCTGCATTTTGCTGCCACACAGGAAAGTTCTTTGGGCTGTAGAGGGTGGGGGCTGTTCTCTCAACACTAAACACGGCATATTGCCCGCTGCTGGACTGGAGTGGGGGCCTTGGGCATCGACCCCAGGTTAGGCAGGGCAGAGGCAGGGAGAGGACAGAGGAATCAAACGATGCCTCTGAGGTGGGAATCAGGAATCATGGTCCTTGGGTGGGGTCCAGCCAAGGCAGCAGACAATTTCGGGGGCAAGAACAAAATTTAAGTTCAGAAGAGAACTGATACCCCATATTGGGAGGCAGGAACTTTCAAGGGATAAAGCAAACTGGGCAAACCAGAGGTGCCAGCTGTTGAAAGCAAGAATGGGGATGGGAGGATGACCAAGCCTGGGGCTCTGCTATTTTGATTTAGGAGATATTTCTTCCTCAGCTACTTTGACCTACTTCAGCCTGGACCCTGCCATGAAGCGCCTGTTGCTCCCTGGCTCCCATTTCGATCTGCTTTTCACTTTTTCCTTGTCCCCGATACATAAGGTAAATATTCCTCATATTCATTCTCCACTTCGCGTTAGACCCCATGGGACCCCTGCCCTCGGGGATTGACAGTGTGTTGGGCAAGAAAAGAGTGGGGGCTCAAAAGTAGAGAATAGACAACGTGTCACCTTCAAGAGATCAGAGGAGGGAGCACTGACTTCCAAGTGGGCCACCAGGGAAGCCACACAGGAAAGGTGGCGTGGAAGAGAATATTTCAGCACTAGGAAATGACATAAACAGAGGCTCAAGAAGCAGGAACACTGAGCAGACACATGAGAGAACAGTAGGTGATCCCAGCTTGGTGAGGATATGGAGTGCATGCAGGGCATAGAGAGGGTGGTTGGGAGACAAGTAGGAGAGGTAGAGTGGGTTATCATTGGGTTGGCATAAGGGCCCAGATTTTATACAATGCTTGGTGCATGGTAAACACTCAATAAATAGTTTATCACATTAGTTCGAGTGATTGAACCCAGGCTTTAGGATAGTTAATCTGCTTAGCACATTGAGAATAGATTGGATTGGGGCCAAATTGATGATAGGGAAAGAATTCAGAGTTTCTGTCACCTTAACAAGTGTGGGAGCCTTCACTGGGATGGGGGTAGGGGTTGTCCAACCCACATCAATTGCCCCTCTCTAGGAACAGCATTGTACACTGGTGTGAACCCCAGCGACCATGTCTGCACCATGAGACCCTGTCCATGCTGAGACCATGGCATTGTCCTGTCTTGTCCACCCTGAGATGTCATGTTTAGCTCTTCCTTTATTCTGTGAGATGGCCTGGTAGACTTCTGATAACGCTGCATGCTCCTTCTGCTTTGCCTTTGGTTGGGAGGGGGACCAAGATAACCAGAGTTTGTTTCTCTTGTTTGCAATTTTTAAAAACCCAATAATTGATACAATAAGGTAATTAAATCCTGCATACAGTAGGTAGGTCTCGGTAGTGGTGGAAAGTGAAGTCTTTATGCGAGGAACATTGGCTGTACTTGGAGGCTAATTGTATTGGGCTGAGAGGGGTCTGAGGATGAGGAGACATCCTAGCTGCCTAGCAGGTTTTGATCATGGGTAACTAGAAAATGGCCAGAGTGTTTTTCAGATAAAAGGTACAGACAACCAAAAGCAGGTGTAGGAGACAGTGAATTACCTTTGGAACACAGGGAAAGGAAAGGAGCTCATATTTCTGGAGGAACCTCCTATGAGCCAGGCACTATTCTGAGTGCTCTGTATGGGTCAACTCAGATAACCTTTATGACAATCCTAGGAGGTGTATGTGATCATCTCCCTGTTCCATATGGGCCACTGAGGCTCAGATTGGTTGGTCACCGTAGTAAGCAGAAGGATATTCACAAATATTTCTGGCTCTCTACCTTCAGCACACAAAGTCCAATTGTACTGTCTAGCTCACTGTAGTTGGCGGGGTCTGTGGAAGTGATGTGCCAATTCGGTGCCAAGCATAAAATTGCTAGTGAGGGAGCTTCCAGAACTTTCTTTTTCTCTGCTGTGGTGATTGACTATATTCCAGAGAGTGGTTGATCTATCATCTTGAATCCTGGATTGAAGGACAAAGATGACACAGAGTAGAGCCCCCAACCAACGTGGAATGAGTGTATATTATGAACATAAAATAAACCTTTATTGTTTTAGGCCACTAAGTTAAGTTAGTGTAGCTCACCTGGCTTCTCCTGACTGAAGCACTCCGTTAGGAGGTGCCCATTGGCTTTGATTCCATGTCTTGTTATCATGCCAGTGCCAGGTGGACGTCTGTGGATCTGTAGGAGCCCATGAGCAAGGTCAAGACGAGAACTGTAGATGTGTGCGTCGTCTACACAAATGTGGAAGGGAATGGAAAGAGAGGAATAGGTATTTAGTCTATAGGCTTTGGGGTAATGCTTCTCTCTCTCATGTTCTTTCTCTCCCATAGGTTTGTGGTCCTCTCGACATGGGCTGTTGTTAAGTAGGACATCACTGCTGCCTGCAGGGTCTGGTGGTTCAGAGACGTTGGCTTGAGCTTGTTGACAGCTGCACACTCATAACATTGCTAAAAACTTCATAAACTCTGATGCCTGGAAATAGCCCAAGTGATTTGAGGTTTTGCTCACTTGTAAATGTTTGAGTATTTTGTCCACAAATTGCAAATTGAGTAACTCAATTTTGAGGCACAGCTGTTATTTGGAAAAGACCCATCTAGGAATGCAAGCTCCTTGCAAAATAATTGTGCTTCATTTTTGTCAAGTATCAGAAAACCATTAAACTGCCAAGCCATATGGCAAATGCCCACTCAAAGCAGAGTTTGACAACTAACTGTAATGAATCTGTTTTGGGGGGAAGTAGATAGGACAGCGTCTGGTTTTTGTGATCTATAGAAAAGCAGATTTGCTGCTGCACATTTCAGCCTTCCTGGGTCTTGAATAAGGAATTTTTCTCCCATGAAAAATTCATATAAAAAATTAAGTTATGCTAAATTTTTTCTTAGGTGTGTTTTCTCTTTCAAACAATATCCATTTGAGTTTCTGCATATAAAATAGGTTTAACTGGGACAATAGAACTTCTAAAAGTTTACATACTTTTCTATTTTTTATATCCTAATTCAACAAACATTCATTAGACAGCAGTATATCAGTTAGAATTAAGTTTAGCTGTTATAACAGAAAAAATGGAAAATAATGGTGGCTTAGAAGATTATTTCTTCTCCAGGTAAAAGAAAGCTAGAGGTAGGTAGTCTGGGGCTGGCATGACAGTTTCAGGGTCATCAGGGTCCTGATTTTCTCTTAGCCTATTCTTTGTCACACCTGGAGTTGGTCCTTGTCCTCCGGGTGTAATACAGCTGCCATGCTCCAGCCGTCACATTCCAGGCAGCAAGGGTGAAGGAGAGGAGAAAGGCATGCCTTTCCTTTTTCAGGAGAGTTCCTGGAACTTCTAATGCTTCTATTCCTAAAGCTTCTATTCCTAACGCTTCTCTTCAAAGATCACTGGCCAGACCTTAGTCACCTGGCTGTGCCCAATTTTCAAAGACACTGGGAAAGGTAACAGTATGCCCAGCTACGGACAGAGATTCTATGACTACAGAAGAGGAGAGAACAGATATTGAGAAGTCACCATCAGACTCTGCCCTTCCAGAGGTCCTCGATGTTTGTTCTTCCTGCAGGATTGTAACCTTGGGGACAGGAACAGATTTTATTTATCCTTTTATCTCCAAGGCACTAGCCCAGTAGCTGGTATTAATAGGTTGTGTTTTTAATGATCTACTATTTTGTATTTCTCATAGCAGACCCCAGGCACTTCTGGTCTTCTCTCCCTTCTTCTGCTTTCTTTGTTCCAAGTTGGCAAGTCAGCTGGGATTTGGGCACATTTCTTTTTCCATCATCAAAAGATGTTATTTCTACCAGAACAACATTAGATTGCCTGTTCCTGTAGTTTTTCAATATTGACTCTTAATTCCAGGGACAAGTGATGCTTACAGCTGCCTGGTTATGGTTGGAGCTAGACGGAAGGCTACGGCAGTGGTCTGTGGGATTGGCCTTCCTCAGGAGCACCCTTCCATGGTGACATCTCCCAGGCCAAGGGGGTCTGAGCAAGCTGCCTCACAGGCAGGAGGATGCTGAATGTGTGCCCAAAGGCTGCCAGGTCTTGATTACGGGTGACTAGAAAAATGCTGGAGTCTTTTTCAAGCAAGATAAACAAGCATCTGGAAGCAGGTGTAGGGAATGGTGAATTAGGTTTTAAACATAACGAAAGGAAAGAGAGAGGAGCTAATATTTCTGGAGATCCCCCTCTGGGCCAGGTACTGTGCTAGATTGGTCAACTCTAAAACCCTCCATGAGGGCTCTAAGAGATATATGTAATTATCTCCATTTTCTGTGTGGCTCACTGAGCTTAGGGAAGTTGATTAGGCTCTTCACCAGAAAGCAAGCACCCCGCCAGGCGTGTTAAAAGAATTAGCATCAATGTGTGTGAAGTTTTTAGCACAGCCTGTCATTCAACAAGCCCAGTAGCCATTAATCTGCTCCACCTTATTGCAGCAGCAATTGAAATCAATCCCAAAGTCATGAGTGTGGCTTTACAGAGACCTCGTCCCATTACTTGTGCTCCTTCAAATCTTTTGAAAGTTCTCAAAACTGAAGAGCAGGCTGCCTGGTTTCCTGAGAGCCTCACAATTAGGACGAGTGCTTAATTGACATGTTTGTTTCCTCCAAGGGCTGGCTGGCAGAGGATCCTCACACCGACAAACAAGGGTTGCTTTGCTTTTGTTCTTAGCAGCACTGTGTGCCCATAGCAACAGTGGGCGAATCCGGCAAAGTTGAAAAGAAAAAGTACCAGAGTTTGCATGAAGGTTGATTGCCCTGGAGAAGCTGACACGCTTGCACAGATGGAAATAATTTCCCCAAGTCCTGAAAAATGTGGTCGTCAACCCCACATACAAACCGTGTCTCCTGTTTTCTTTAAGATGAGGAGTCCGGTCAAGAGGTCTGTGTAATGAAAGATGTTTGTAGAATCCATTTCCATTCTGCCTGAAGCCATCTGCTTTATGTCTATAATAAACAGGGATGTTTGCAGCCACTTTCCCGGGCCTGGGCCCGTTAGAGGCGCTCACCGCAAGGAAAGGTAAATTGACTGCCTCCCAAGCGGTGAGCATTAGCACATTACATCCGCGGTGACGGCACTTAACTTTCTGGCTCGTCTTGCTTCCTGTGCCTCTGTGACTGCCCGTGACAAATGGGCCGAGGGGCGCACGCTGAGTTGGAATTTAGTACACATGGGGCATTGGCCAGCATCACATTACTTGGTGATGAGGTGAGAGGTGAGCAGCAGAAAAGGCCATCGCCCAAGAAGCTGGGGACCGCCTGGCCTTTGCCGGGCAGAAGAGCCCGGGGGCAGCTGGCCTTCCTGAGGCTTTCCTGCCATCCTGAGGCTTCCTGATGCACATCCTGGGAGCACTTCAGTGCTCTTTCTGAAACAGAAATCTGAGGAAGTCACGCCCCTGTTTAAAATCCTTCGAAGCTCCT